CCCTTTCTAACCCTGCCGTGGGCAGAGAGGGAGGTGCAGGGACTTTTCAAATGATCTCCCGATGCGACTTCCTGCAGAGGGCCTTATAAACCTGGCATTCTCTTGGTCCTTATAAACTCCCCTCTGCCCCACCCCCAAACGCCTTCCCTCTCGCTGGGCTCCAGCTTGAGGAGAACTGACGGCCACCCTGGACGCAGGGGCCTCCTGCTGGTGAGACTTGGCAACTACAACATCTGCACACACCTCCTCACCCAGAGCCAGGTGTGGCCACGCTCCAGGGAAGCTGGCCCACCATCGCTCAGTGGGGACCTCTCCGCTGTGTGGTGCTTCACCTCCGGACCCCTCTCCCTTTAAAGACCCATCCTGTCCTCAATTACGTCTACCCGTCTTCCCAAATGGGCCTGTCCTGGGTCACATCTCCTTGGAACCTTGCTCCTGTGGCTCCCCCACAGTCAGAGCTAAGTGCACTGATGGTGAATTCCCAGGAGCAGGCAGGAAGGTGGCCTGGCCTGGGCTTCCAGCTCTGCCACTTACTAGTTGTGTGGCCTTGTAGCTGCCTGCTCTGGGCTTGAGTTTTCTCCTGTGTGAAGCAGGGATGATGATCAGCAGCCACCACAGGGGATGGTGGTGGAGCAAACGGGGTCTGCCGTGCCGGACGTCAGCCACCGTGTTCAACAGTCGGGACTCTCGGCAGGGCTGGTGCTACTCCCCCACCCTCATCATCCGCGTGGCCAGTCTTCTCCACCCACCAAAGCAGCTGCCTTCAATGCAACTGGAGCCGTCCCCACCCCAGCACTGTGTCACCAAGGGCTGGGGCTGATGCTCCAATTCTGGTGAGGAGGCTGGGACAGGTGTGTTCTTGGGCACCGGCTGACAGCCAGCAAGTGGACAATATACTATTTATAGCGTCCTCTGAGGTTCATCGCTAATGTTACCTGATATTTATGTACATCTGCCTCTCCCTGAAGCTGTCCTGCTCCCAATTTTGTTGCTACCAACCAACGTGTGCATGGCTGTCACCACCCTCCTGACCCCCAGGGTTCAGGGTTGTCACTTAAAATCCCTAAAACCCAGTGACCCGGCCCAGCCCCACCTCCGGGCTTCCGTCACTTCCCCTGCTGCAGTCCCAGCGGCCTCACTGGTCAGCTGGCCTCCCAGAGGCCCTCCGCTCTGTGGCCTCGCTGCCTTTGCAGCTCTGCTCCCCCACCAGGACGCGACTGCCACCTCCTCCCACCCCACACCCCACTTCACCAGTTACTCCGTCACCCATGCAGCCAAAGGCTGAGGCCTGTCAGATCTGCACTGCTGCCCCCACCACCTCACCTTGGGCCAGAAGGCCATGTCTCCTCCCTGCATTCCCTTAGCATTCATAGCATTCTTCTAGAATGTTCTCTTTGTGTTAGTGTCTCA